TTTTTTTTTTTTTTTTTTTTTTTTTACCAGGGATCAAACTCAGGCCCTTGTGCTTGTGAGGCAGGCAGTGGAACCACTGAGCCAAATCCCCAGCACTGTATTCTTGTTTTTGGAGGCACAGTTGCCACAAACATATTCTAAAAGCTCTGATTCATTTTTTTAATGTTTTTTGTTGTTGTTGTTGTTGTTTTTGGTACCAGCGATCACACTCGGGTCCCTGCACTTGCAAGGCACGCGGCAGAACCACTGAGCTAAATCCCCGGCCCTGATTCTTTTTTTTAATTGGTACATTTTAGATATACATAATGATAACATTCATCATAGGGAATTTGTACCTGTATGTGATATACCTTGCTTCTTTATAAGCTCTGATTCTATCATTAAGCTTGTTTCCTCATTAAGCTTTGTTGTCTTTATAGAATAAAGAGAAAGAGGAATAAAGATTATGGTGGTGTATACCTATAGTTCCAGCATTCTAGGAGGCTAAGGCAGGAGGATCAGAAATTAAACCCAGCTTGCCTCTGCTTCTCTTTCCCCCTGTTTTTTCTTTCCTTATTTCTTTTTCCCCTCTGTTTCTTTATCTCTCAAAATAAAAAAATAAAACATTTTTTAAAAGGGCTGGGGATGTAGCAAAGACTCTGGGTTCAATTCCCAGTACTAAAAAAAAAGAAAAGTAAAAGTGAGACATGATATTAAGAGAGGGAGTTGGAGCTATGTTTTACAGTGGTGACGACAGGATACTAGGACTAAAAGGAGAGGACAGTATAACTCATAAGTGCTGACTAACTCCTTACAAAATTTGTTCTATTAAATTAATCTCTGGGGCTGGAGATTAGCCCAGTGGTTCCACCACCTGCCTGGTAAGTACAGGACCCAAGTTTTATCCTCAGTACCAAAAAAAAAAAAAAAAAAAAATCTTTTAAAGTCCCTGGTACTGGTCCCAGATGTCCCTATGTTAAATCCAAATCCCACCTTCTAAAATTACCCGTATGTTCCTTCCATTTCTCTCACTCTTTTCACTTTCAAAGTATGGTTATCTATTTTGGTATTTAAAATTATTACTATTGTCATTATTATTATTATATTTGAGACTGGGTCTTGCTACATAGTTGATGCTGCCCTTGAACTCACTGTTTAACCCAGACTGACCTTGAACTCACAGAGATCCTCCTGCCTCAGCCTCCCAAGTGCTGGGATCACAGGTATGAGCCACCATGCCTGGCCCACTATTTAAAATTTTGTTGACTATGACAGAAAGCCAACTCAATATAGCTCAAGCAAAAAAAAACAAACCAAACGAAACAAAAACAAAAACAGTGTGTTAGCTTTTACATCTTAAAAGTCCACATCAAGTCCAGCACAGTGGCACATGTTACATTCTCAGCACTTGGGAGGCAGAGGCAGGAGTATGAGTTCAAAGCCAACCTGAACTACAGAGGGAGACCTTGTCTCAAAAAAACAAAACAAAACAAAACAAAAACAAACCTTCAAAACAGCAAGTTCAAGACCCATCTGGGCAATTTAGCAAGACCTCATCTCTAAAATAAAAAGAGCTGGAACTATAGCTCAGTGCAAAGGCCCTACTGCAATTAATTAATGAAAATAAAAAGGATCAAGGCCAGGGATTTAGCTCAGTGGTGTCTGCCTTGTAAGCACAAGGTCCTGAGTTTTTTGTTTGTTTTTTTTTAAGGTCCTGAGTTTGATCTCCCATACTGGAAAAAGAAAAAAAAAAAAAAAAAAGGATTGAGGAGGTAGCTAAGTGGTAGAGTGGCCCTGGGTTCAATCCCCAGTACTTAAAAAAAAGTCTGCATAAGGCTCAGGCTTCTAGCAAGATGGAACCCAGCTGTTTTAATCTCCTTGGCTCCACACCTGGGCTCTGCACTCCTCCACCTGGCCCACCTGTGTCCTTCAAACCCTGACCTGTCTTGTGGGCCCCAGACTCATATGATGGTAGCCTAAGTGGTAGAGTGGCCCTGGGTTCAATCCCCAGTACTTAAAAAAAAGTCTGCATAAGGCTCAGGCTTCTAGCAAGATGGAACCCAGCTGTTTTAATCTCCTTGGCTCCACCTCTGGGCTCTGCACTCCTCCACCTGGCCCACCTGTGTCCTTCAAACCCTGACCTGTCTTGTGGGCCCCAGACTCATATGATGGTAGCTGCCCATTGTGCCTCCATCTTGAGAGATTCGAACTCCTCTCCTCCTCACTGATGATCCTCATCATAATGAGAACAAGGAGGCACCAAATTTCTCAAGTTAGAAATTACCCAGACCTCTTCATTAATCCCCATATCTAATAGATCACAAAGCCAAAGTATTTCTACCCCACTTGTGTATTTGGAATTGGTTATCTCTTTCTATGGCCAGTGCTACATTCTCCATGCCTGAAATAACCAATCTACTAAAACTGTAAAATCTAGGGCCTGGGATTTAGCTCAGTGGTTCCAGCATCTGCCTCACAAGTGCGATGCGAAGGCCTGAGTCTGATGCCCAGTACCAAAAAAAAGAAAAGTAAAATCTAATGGGCGCATGGTGGTGGCACATGCTTATGACCCCAGCTCTTCAGCAGGCTGAGGCAAGAAGATCAAAAGATCAAGGCCTGCCTGGACCATTTACCAAGAACCTGTCTCAAAATAAAATAATAAAATGAAAAGAGCTGGGAGTGTAGCTCAAGAACTATACTTTCCTAGCATGTGTGAGGCCCTTGATTTAATCCCCAGTACTGAAAAAAAAAAAAAAAAAAAAAGTCTATCATTCTGTCCTTAAAAGGTTTGGTTATGTGACTTGTATAATCTGTTCCATAAATATGAGGTACAAGCATGATCCTATTTGGTGATTTTCGGTGATTTTTCCAGTTAATCACTTGAACTCCCAGCTTCCCAGGTAGTAGACAGCCTAGTGATCTTAGGTTGGGTTTCCTAGAAACCGAGCCAGAGCTGGGGTAAGCACCGGCTGGACTGTTATTTCAGGAGTCTCACTGCTCTCTGCTTCTTGGCTGAGCAAGGCCCAGTCTGCTGCACCTTGCCTGGTAGACCCAGCTATAATACAGTTTCTGAGAAAGAGACTGGGGACTGAGGTCTTACTCCCAAGAGGCCCAGCCTTCCCATGCAAACTGCTCTACCCAGTGACAAGCTCTAAGTACCTAGGACCTCAGAGTGGGGCTTGATCCATTCACAAAACTTTCTCTCACGCTGGGGGTCAAAAATTCAAATGCCCCTGGGAGCCAGAAGACCTAGCGACTACCACTCAGCAAGAATCGCGGTTTACCAAACAGGAATTTGGTGCTCACCATCACCAGATCTTTCCATTTGTTTTTCAGGAAGAAGCAAAAATATTTAGTTTTATATAAAATATTTTAAACTGTTAACCTTATTTTTAAAAGAAAAGAGCAAAACCAAAGCTCATCTGGCTCAGGAGATGTCAGTGTGTCACTGATTGGACTCCCTAATCTCAGGACAATGGGCACCCACTTGCCCTACATTTGCATAACTATAGGGGCCTAGGCAAAGAGTGGGAACCGAATAAACCCATTACAAAAGGTTCATGACCTCAAAATAGTCTAACCTCCTTTAGCAAGGACAGGGTGGCCTCTCTGACCTAGCTTCTCCCCTTCTCCCCTGCCCCATGACCTCAGGACCTAGTATTTACAGGCTATGCCAATCACCTCTCCTTTTCCAGTTATCAACCAACACTCAAACACCCCTTCTTCTGGGCAGCATTCCTCTCTGATCGCTGCTTTCTCTGTTTACCACCTCCCTGCTTTTTTTTTTTTTTCCTTTTGAGCAGTTATTTCAGTATCCTAACCTAGTCTCTTTTTTTATAAGACAGGATTTCACTGTACACAGGCTCACTGTGTAGTTCAGGCTGGCCCTAGACTCAATTCTGTAGCCCAGGCTGGTCTCAAAACTCTCCGAATTTTCCTGCCTCAACCTCCAGTGCTGGGATTACAGGCGTGGGCCACCACACCCAGTTCTAATCTAGTCTTTAAGTGCCTGTAACCTCAATAATACAAACTCTACAGCAGGAACCCGGGTTCATTCCCCTACCCCCCCATAGAATACCTGACACTTATTTATTTATTTATTTTTTGGTACCAGGGATCGAACTCGGGTCCTTGTGCTTGCAAGGCAGACGGCAGAACCACTGAGCTAAATCCCTGGCCTGTACCTGACACTTTAAATGGAGAATGGAGGAAAAGGTATGAAAAACAATGACCTTGACCATTGCCTTTCACAGGCTAGTAATCCATTTATGGAAAACTGGCTCTTTTTTTTTTTTTTTTTTTTTTTTT